GGACTGGGTCTGTGGGTTCCCGGAAGTCGGCAGAAATTCCTACTCAGCGGGCGGGGTAGGGGAGGTACTGCGGAGTGGTGGGGGGTGGGCCGGGGGGGTAGGAGAGGGTTCAGCCCACTCTGCACCTGGGCTGGGACTGGTCCCTCCGGCGCAGAATAGCAGGAAGCTCTCCACACACTCACTGGACCTGGGCTAGGACTGGGTCTGGGGGTTCCCGGAAGTCGGCAGAAATTTCTCTCTTAATATCTTGATCACATTATCATTTCAAATATATCTATATTACTTCTACCACCTTTTCTGTTCGTTTACATCTTGAGATTCTCATGTAAGATAGAGCATGCAGTATATAAGCATGCCAACATTGTAGTCTCAAGGTACATTACTGTCTTATAGTGACTGAAGTTTATCTATTATTATACCCCGTAGTTTTCTTTGGTGTAGGAATATTAAATTTTTTTATCCATTTATATGTTTATAGACATATAAGCTACTTCCAAGTATTAGCTATTTCTAGAATACATAACAAACAAAAACTTTGACCTTTCCACTCTTAAAAGTACAACCCTCTCGGTTTTATAAATAAATATTTCTCCTGATTTCATTCTTATTCTCTTCCTACTTGCTCTCCAAATTCTGCCTCTATCTTACAGTATGGCATAGTAGGGGCCAGGGAGATGGCTCAGTGAAATAAGCGCTTCCCTGGCAAGTTCAATTCCCAATTCCGAAAAAAAAATCTAGATTATGACATAGCATTTTTGTTTTATACACTTAACAACTGTTTAACAAATCTTGTAATAAGGAGAAATGTCATATAACAGCATGCAATGGGTAAAATATCAAGATATCCAAGTTGAAATGTGCAGCTCAAAACCGTAATGATGAAACACATTATTCCTTCTATAGAACCAGTTTTTGTTCATCTCTCCCACTGTTGCACCTAAACATTTGTAACTGTAATTTCATTATCCCAACTAGTTAATTAAAAAGTTGTCAATACACATGAGATGTGGCGTGACATGATCCCTGCAGTTTTGAACATACCGACAATTTTACTTGCCAGGCGATCCTGGCACATTTGAAAGATTTATGGACCTGAAAAGTCATTAGAGGCCAAAATTTTTCTGCCTCTTTGAATGAATAAACTGTTTATTTATTGTGTGTGTGTCTGTGTGTGTGTGTCCAGCTCAGCCCACCTGGGGGCGGGGCTGGCTGGCATGTGGTGCTGGGGTATCAAACCGCGGTCCCTGTGCTTTGCCAAGCTTGTTCTAAGTAGGTGCTTTAGACCACTGAGCCATCTCACCAGCCCCAGAATAGACTGTTAACTGTTTTGTTTTCTCATAGATTTTTCTCAGGCCATTTTATATACTAGGGCTGTTAGGTTTGGTAGTACTGGGGTATGTGACCTACTCTTGTGTGGTTTGCACATTTATCCCTTACTTTATCTACAGGTGCTGGGATCCTCCTGGCTTCCCTTCTGCTCAAGACACCCTCCTACCTTCAAGTCCGAAATCTGTGCTTTGTACCAACTGGGATCCATCGCTTTATAACTAATCTCTTCAACACACTCTTCATTTCCTCATCAGATTGAAAGGTAGTAGTTACCAAAACTGATTATGAAAGAGCTTGGTTTCCTGAGAAAAAAGGAGTGGTGATACCTGAAAAGAGAATTGTGGCTACAAAAAATGATGCTAAGCCCCTTCATAGTGAAAAGTGAGAGACCACGAAGGCAAACCTGAAAGCCACATAATGTAATAAATTAAGATTAATTTTCAAAACTGAGTAAAAGTAATCACTCACTCAGTTACCACAAATGGAAAGTATTTTACTGGCAATGCTAAATTTGAAATTGTGTGCAAGGACCAAATGATATATACAGAAATCATACACTTACACTGCATGTGTACAATAAAAAGTTTCAATATTGACGCACATCACTAAATAATGTGAATATATTTATTATATAGACATGAAAATGGAAATATAAAATTGTCTTGAGGGTTGGAAATATACCTCAGTGGCAGAGCCCCTGCCTGCAAAGAGTGAGGTTGAGTATTCGATTCCCCTTACCACCACAACCAAAAAAAATTAAGAAATAAAAAAGTAAAATAAAATAGACAAGAAATTGTGGTCAAAAATTAGAGAAAAAGGGAGGCGGGAAGGAAAGCCAACATTATGGCCCTAGCCTTGCAAGGTCAATTAAGACTCAGGACATATGAGAACTTGAATTGTAACAACATGTAACTCTGTAGTGTCCCCAATTTTCTGATCAAGGAGATTATGGGGCCAAAGAGGAAAGTGATTGATGATGTAGAGTGTGCTTAAGGAGAGTCACATGGAGAGAAAACATTCTCTCAGGCTTTCACAGAGAGCACATTGGCCAAGCAATGGCCATGACTCATCCACATGGCTGACACAGAGAAAGGTTCTACAACCTGAGGTACAGGATCTCAGGACAAATCCTGAGGGGATTTCACTGACCTTATCAGACCCAAAAGCTACAACTCTTGTTGCATAGGTCCTGCTTTACCTTGGTCTTAACCATCCAGCAGAAAAGTATAAAAACAAAATATAAGAAGTAAAGCCATGCTGTTATGTTGAGCTGTAGGGGACTCAGGTCAACAATTTCTGACATTGCCAGTCAAGTGGAAGACCCAATACTATTACGAGCTACTGGACTCTTTGAGAATATTTTGCTGAATTTACACACCTATATTATTCAAATAATGGAGCTTAACAAAAAAAGGGTATGCAGATGAATGTTTATTTTGTATCTGTGTATTCAAAGCAGTTAGAATAGATATATAGTTACATTCTCTTAATGAATAGAGTGATTTGTTCTCATGGTGTTTGTAAATAGGATATCATGTCCACATCTTGTACAGCAATTAACCACTAGGAAGAAGGTATGCAATGTGTTATTATTGAAAATCTCCTACCAATTTGATTTGAAACTGTCTCACTGCTATTTGTTTATCAGTAAAATTATGGGGAAAAAAAGAAACTGTGGTCAAACAAAAAAATAGTATGTGATTAGTTACAATTCCTTGCCTGTGATTTTTCACTACCAAGGAAATACAAATCAACAAAAGCACTAAAAATGTTGAATGATGATGTTTCAGGTGCAAGACAAACTTTTTCAGAGGAAAGTTGTTTCTTAAACCACATATTATTTTGAAAAATAGTCCAAAATCCAATGAAGAGATGAACTATTGATCTGAAGAATTGAAGTGTTAACCATAATGAAATTTGTGCCATTCCTCTTCTGGTTTTATTTAAGTATCTAGCCAATCCTTTAAAACTAAAGCATAATATGATATTGAGACAGAATTGAGGAGTTTACATCTGTTAAAATCAAAACTTGAACAAAATAGTTGTTAGCCTGGTTTTACCATCCACATTATGTGTGCTAATTTCTCGTTGTTTTGGTTGATTTGTGGAATGTTTTCAGTGTGGGATGCTTAATAGACATTTTGCTCAAAATCCTCTAAATATCAGCAATTTTACAACAAATTATAAGAAGTACATATATCTGAAAACATTGCTGGTTGTCCATTGTGTTTAGAGGCTAGGTAACAATTTCTTCCTGTGAACCTCACGATTAGATCAGTATCTAATGTTTCCTGAGTTGGAAGCAATTAATGTCAATCAAAACTGAACAAAGTTGAAGCATGAATTTTATTTTGCATGCATTACGAAATCAATTGTCTTCAGGGAGCTAAGCATATTCAAATGAGTTTAGAAAAATATTACATTTTGATGCACTGAGACAAAATTTCTAAAAACAAGTAAATTTCCCTTTCAGACAACAGATTTGTCTTCTTTTTCATTTTCAAGAATGGAGGGTGTCACCATGGATTTCTCTCTGTCCACAGCACCTAGTTCTGTGTTGTAAGGCTCGGAAGAATACCTGGGAAGCCAATTTCTGGTAGAGTCATATGAAGTGGTGAAGTTGGACATACCACCATCTCACAAATCCAGAACTATTTTGCTATGTAATCTCCCATAAACACCAACTTGATGTGTTTTTTTTAAGTTTTTGGCATATGTTTGCAGCACATGACGATTATTTTGCACTTGGGACATTGTCACATATACATATTTTACTTGATCAGTTTTTTTCCTATCCTTCCTTCTCCTCTACCTCCCTTTCCACTAATTCCTCTCCAATCTGTACAAAGCCTACCTCCTTTTATCTTACCAACTCTTCTTTATTTCGGGCCAGAAAAATTTTTTAAAAATTACCAATTATTTCAGTTTTTATTTCAGGCTTGCCTCATCCATCAAACTATCAAAATATTATTTATACAATGTTTCCCAATGCAGTATTTTTTGGCTTTTTCCTCCTATCTCAGGTATGTATTGGTGTCTTGGCAAACTCATCACTATTTGTGGCACTTGCATACACCTTCTTATTTCAACCTAATCTTAAGAGGCCCATCGATTTCATTATAATTCACCTGACAGTGGTGAATAATTTGAGTATCATAGTCACACTGATACCATATATCAAAGCGTCTTTTGGAGTAAGACAGTTTCTGGATGACACTGGCTGTAAGGCA